ATGATGGTGTAGTAGTTGGATTGTTTCCGAATCGCCGCCGTTCTGCTGAATGCGGAAGCCCAATACGCGAATGGTAGGGACTGTTCGTATAGGGTGATGTTGCACATGCAGATTTATCGTGGGAAGGTCTCTGTTGTAGGGAGATCTACGTCAATAGACGGGTAACTCTGACTTTTGGGGCGAGCAGGACAATCCTTGCTGTTCAGCGTAAGTTGTGATTCTATCAATCGCCAATTGAAGTGCATCTTGTATCTCTCCATCATTACCTCTGGCAATCCACTAGGTGATATCGTCCGCGTATATGCTGTGGTAAAGGTGGGGGATATCTTCTAGAAGTGGCGGAAGGTGAGGCATGGCCAGGTTAAAAAGGAATGGAGAGAGGACCGACCCCTGTGGTGTCCCTTTCCCATCGAGAGTGATGGAAGGTGCAGGCAAATCGTTGACCAAGAGTGTGGCTATCCTGTCCGTTAAAAGTTGCGGATGTAGCGGTAGGTACGGGCCCCTACGTTGAGCGTGGCGAGGGCGTCAAGGATGGATGAATGTAGCACATTGTCAAATGCCTTGGTAAGGTCTAGCCCCAGAATAGCACGTGTCCCATACCGAGAACCATCTTCACCGTCGATAATGTGACTCTTCAGTTGCAGCATCACGTCTTGTGTCGAAAGTTTGGGGCGGAATCCGAACATTGTATGCGGGTAGAGGGTATGTTCTTCCATGTACCTTTGTAGTCGAGTGTGAAAACATGCTGGAGTACCTTGCCGACACAAGATGTGAGAGATATTGACCGAAGGTTCTTGATAGTGAGTGGTTTCCTGGTTTAGGTATCAGAATGACTGTGGTGGTTTTCCATGTTGTTGGTATTTCTCCCGACTCCCAAACCGTTTGCAGATAAGTTGTGAGCGTGTCAAGTGATTCTTCGTCAAGGTTTCGTAAGATTTTATCTGTAATTTTATCCGGGCCAGGCGCTGATTGGGGTCTCAGTTGTGAAACTGCGGACCTCACTTCCGCTTTTGCAATCTGGGAATCAAGGGCTGAATTATCCACCCCATTGTAGCATGGGAGATCAACCGAAGTAGCACTGACAATGTACCGACTAGATAGGTCTTGGGTAAGGTCTTCATTGGTACCTGGATAATTGTGCAGAGCGGAGATTAAGGAGTGGCGCTGAGCAGTTTTTGTCGATGTTGGTTCTATCATACGACGAAGAATATTCCACGTTTTGGGCACGTTAGGTAAGCGTTCCATAACATTACAAAGCTGATGCCAGTTCTGGCAGGAGAGTTGAAGAGCGTAATCTTCAATTTGACGCGTTAACATAGCAATGCGTTTGCGTAATGAGCGGTTTAATTTGTTGGAGTTATAGCGCTTGCGCAGACTAGCGAGAGCCTCCCACATGTGCAGCAGCTTGGTGTCTACCGTGTCGCCTACGGCGTCTTCTGGAGGAGTCTTGGTAGCACGCTTAACGTCTCGTAGTAAGGAAGCTCTCCATTGGTCGATCGAGATGGCAGACTCTGGAGAAGCCGTTGCCCGCAATTCGCGGAAGACATCCCAGTCAACAAGGGCAAGCTGTTTGGATTTCCTGCGCTGCGGGCCAGCCTTGATGATAGTTTGTATTATGTAGTGGTCGCTGCCTAGATGTTCATGAAGGTTGGACCACTCTGCATGCGTAATGTTCGCAGTGAAAGTGAGGTCAGGAGTGGTGTCTCTGGCAACGCTGTATCCCAACCGCGTAGGGTATGCCGGGTCTGTGATAAGGGTGTAGCCGAAATTGTGGGTGTCTTGCCACAGCATTCGCCCTTTTCCGGTGTCGTGTATGTAGCCCCAAGCGGGTGAGGGAGCGTTAAAATCCCCTGCCACGAGGAGGGGGAAAATTCTTACCAACTACTTGACGTAAGACAGGAGCTTGTGAAAGCGATGTGGTTGTCGTGGGCTGCTGTAAACATTGATTAAGAACATACTGGTGTATGTCCGGTGATATGGAGAGGATTTCCAATATAATGTGTGGCACTGTATCAGAGAGCGAGGGGTGTTGAATTACAATGATACTTTGTTTCACGAGGGTGGTAAGGACTTCGTGACTGTCAGGGGCTTGAGCAGCTATAGAGGAGGCGTATCCGACCAGCTTAGCTTGTCCACCCGATTCCTGTAAAGCAATAATATCTGGTGTATCTGTTTCTTTGAGTGTCGATAGATATTGTTGTAGCACGCTCCTCTCTGCCAGATGCTGTACTGAGTGTGTGGATTACTCACGGCCATCTTGGTTAATGCGGCCATAAGGCTTCTGATACGAGTGTGAGCGAGAGCGATGTGTACACCGCTCAAGCTCCGTGACTCTGCTATTGTAGCTGGCAAGAAGACTCGAAAGTGTGGCTTCAAGGTTGTTCTGGATAATTGTCGCTCGGGCTTCCAGCTTTCCGTCGAGCATTAAGGTGAGTTGGTGCTCTAACTTTGCTGTGAGGATTGAATCAAGGAATCGCTCTAGCATTTGCGCTATGGTCTGTTCAAGCATTATCGGTAACTGCCGTTCAAGTACAGTTTGAATCGTCTCGTGGAGTTGCTGCTGCGGTACATATTCTACAGGCAAAATGGGTGTTGAGGTTGTAGGTGGTTGCGACGATGGTGTGGCTGGTTCTTCTGTGTCTGGAGCCTTTCGTTTAGGGGTTAGGGGCGGTATTGGCGTGGAGGTCAGCAGAGTGAAGCAAAGAAGAGGACGGAGATTGCTGGGCAAGTTGTTTCCGAAGAGCAGCGTTTTCTACGCGAAGTTCTTGTACTAATGTACGGACTGAACGCAGCTCCAGTGTGATAGTACTTAACATGGTTTCCTTATTAGGTGTGGTCGTGTGTGTACTTGTAGGCACTGTATTGTGTATAGAAGCATGTTGGGAGGCAATGCTAGCCCAGCTTACCGTAGGGGTGGCGAGGGTGAAACTGGGTTGACGCTGCTCTGATTAGGGGGACCATCCGAAGCCTCGGGTGCCGCAGATCCCAATAGGAGCTCCTGGAGCTGATTCTTGCGTCGCTGCTTTGATGGGCTGCATAAGCCATGACGCTTCGAGGTTGGACTGGAACTGCGGGAGCGGGTGTCGCTAGGCTACACCTCTTGGCGTTCCGAATGAGCATCTTGTGTGGAATTCATGGTTGAGAGGTACTGTTGTTGTTGGAGCTTAGCTTTTTCTTGGCGACGATAAATGAGAAGGCGAGGTGTCTGGTAGCGTCGAGGACAGGTTTTGTCCCCTGTCTGGTGGGCTTGGCCGCACAGAAGACACTTAAGGGTGCATGGATGAGCAGTAGCAGGGTTGGCCGTGCCACACAGCGCGCAGATTATGGCATTTGGTTTGGGGCAGACATCCGAGTGGTGGCCGACTGCCCCGCATGTGTCGCAGACTTCGGTGCGCTTCTTATGTAGGTAGCATTTGTATTCGGCTCCTCGATAGTAGACATGGAAAGGGACTTGGTCGCCATCGAATACAATGAGTACCGTGTTTGTCTTTCCCATTCGGCGAGCTTGTAGTATCGTGGGGTTGTGGTCATTAACAAGACTTGCTGAGATGTCTTCAGGAGAGTCGTAGGGGGGAATATTGTGGATCACTCCCTTTGCTGTGTTCTCAGGGGAAGTGACGTAGGCTCGAACGTCATAGGTTTCAGTTTCCACCTGTTGTTTGGAGATCCGACTGTAGATTTCTGCGTTGGATAGATGAGGTGTGCTTACTGCGATGAGATTAGCTTCAACGCATCTGCGGTAAATGTCCTCTTTGAGTAGCGTTGCGTGCAGATTCACTTCGCGTAGAATAGCATCGCGCAGTTGTGCTTCCCCATTTCGGAGAGATTGAGGCCCTCCTTCGGGCGAATCACAATTTTTACGTGATCATCTGGCAGACGCGGTTGCCTGGGTTTGCGAGGGAGACGCTGAGTAGATCCGTTTAGCATTGGGGTATCAGACGCGCTTCCCTGTCCAGTTGGCGATGCCGGAGCGTTCGATGCATGCTTGCGTTGCTTGTTTCGGAGGCTAGAGATCCTTCCGGCTTCGAGGGTGGCGTCTTCATGGACGATATTAGTTCCTTCGACTTCGACCACTTCCATGGTTAACACTGCTGCGATTTTTGAAGATAGGGTCAACGTGGGCGAGTCAGATGGAGTTGGGTTGCACCGGCGTCGCGGCGAGGAGCAGCTGTTGTGGCAGCCGCCACGCCAGCGTCGGGCGGCGCGAGCAGTGCGAGTTCGTCGTTGCGGTTAGCGTCTCTATCACCTGGGTCAGGAAAAGCTCGCTCACCAAAAATCTTCCGTGTACTGTAGTCGGGGGCTAGTTGTATTGGGTGGTGGGGTGGTTCTAGTCGTCGACAAGGGCGATCGAAGGTATCCAAAAGTAGGGGTTCAACGCTGCCTCTTCCACGTGCAGGAGCAAGTGGGTGTGCTGCTGCTCTGCCAAGCCTTGGAAATACCTAGCATTACATGGCATCACTTAACAAAGCATAGCAACAATCTTAGCCAAGCCGAGATTAGCTATCAAATCACTAGTCCCGCTGTGACCCAGCCATGTGCTACGCAGTGCAAGCTGTCTATATTTGTGCATACTTTCGTTTTTATTCTTTCGTTACATCATTTCAAACTTCTTTTATACAGCATTTTGTGGTGTAACCCTAGATAACAATTATGTTCACCACCCCATGGTTTTCTTGGTTGTTTAGAAATTTCGAGATGAAGAATTTTCTTGTTTTATTTCCTCCTGTGTTCCTACAGCTTGTTGATCTGTGGTCGTTACTTTTTTTCCTTTTAGGAAATGAATACAGAAATGATTACTCGTATGAAGTTGACTATTGTTCAATGAGACTACCTCACCTTTCATCTGTTAATTTAATGAAATACGCTCGAAAGTAGTGCTCCTCGTCAACACTGTCTCGGATTAGTTGTACCACCTGAATCGTAGCACTAGTTGACGTTGCCACAACCAATATGTTTCGTCCGACGCTCTTATGTCAATGCGTTTTTCTCACGTGTTGCAGGCAAGAACCTCATCGAGGAAGGGCTGTTCAAGTGGCGCCGGAAGGGAGGCCTCTACGGGCAGCTGGGACACCACCTCTGCTGCTTGTGCCGCTCGCACATCAGCTAGCCCCGCTGAAAATGCGCGAGGCAAGAAAAACCTCTCTTTCTTCCGTAGAGATACAAAACTGCACGCTTCGCAAAACTGTCGTCAGCGAATTTCGAGCTTACTAGATCCCATTGAGCTGAGCCAAGTGCGGACGTTGAGTTGTGCCCAGAACGATAAAATGATAGCGAGATATTTTTTACTTGTATAAAAATCTGCCACCATTTTTTCCTGCTTTCTTCCGTAATCTTTCATAGACGCTGTCACGTCCAAAAACGTTTTCCAGAGTGCCGAAAAAAGTAAACACTCCTTGCCAGTCATCAAAAATCAGTAATCCTTTAGAGATTTTATAGCTTTCTCGACTATAACCCGAGGGTGTCTTAGAAATTGATCCAGTGCAACGTTTTCGTGGATATTGACATTGTTTTTAGGAGTGACAAAAGCAGTGGAGCTAATTAAGCTGTCATATTATGAATTATGCTGATGAGTACTTCAGAAGCAGAGTAAATTGAGTTATATTTTTTGTGATATCTTTTTGTGAGATAAACCTTGAGGAAACCTTGCAGGGCTGCATTAGAAGGAAAGGAAGGTGAAGGGTGGAGTAAAGAGTCTGCTATTGTATTGGACCCAGCTTCGTCCCACTCTCCATCATTCACCCCGTTGATATGCTGTCTTTTTTTTTCTTACACCGTGCAGTCAATAGCGCCGTTTGCCGCAAGTGGCGTTTTTCTGTCGCGAAAAACGCGGTAGGCGTTTCTCGCTCTCTAGCGTGCACGGTTAAAATTGCTATGAAGTGAATAAAACAAACAGCGTTTTCGGCTTGGCGTTGGCGTTTCACAGTGGCGTATCGGGAACACATTTCCGGATGTTCTTGACAGACGCCCAGCTAGCGAGTGGTCCGGAGTTAAAGTGACCAACCAGAGTGAGACACGAGCGGACGGGAAAGTGGGGTGCAGGGAGGAGAAAGAGCGAACGGCGAGAAAAGCAGCGGTAAAGCACTGCACTTACCCTCTCCTCCACTCTATCGCACCACATGCTCCGGTTGCCAGGCGCGAGAATAAGCGTGCGTGCGCCCGCAGCTGTTGCTATGAAATAGGGAGGGAGAGCTGAGAGACCACCGCGGACGCCGGGGACAACGCCGGATGCCTGACATAGCCCGACTAAGAAATGCGCTCGTATTTAAAACTTGGAGGACGCTCGATCGAGTTTTGCCTTCAGGAGTAGAACACAATAGTGTAATCAGGCCCCATGTGCATTGCCTTTAACCATGCCACAAGAAAAGGAGCGTTCGCGCGCGTAACACTGGCCTTTTTAAACTATCCAATGGACTGGTTGCTAAGTACCCACTACGCCATACTTCTTCCTTTTGCTAATTGGCGAAATACCGAATACTCGTCCGCCAGGTTAGACGCGCACTTGCGCAGCTGCACACTTTGTAATAGGTGAGCAATTTATACCATCAACTCTTTTTTATCACCTGGTGCGAGTCGAGGATTCTGCCACGCAATATTACACGTGCTTAAGAGACTCCTTCTAATAAGTGGCATTGATGTAGTGTTTTTTTCGTTTTTGTTTTCGAAATCAGTTTCAAGCAATACTGAGACTCTGCGGTAGCAAAACTTCTTGCACACGGACGGCTTAGGTCTGATTCTCACTTCGCACCGAAAGTTTTTATTATGTATTTATTTGCATCTTTATCAAATTTTTGTCACGAACACGATGCGGACTTTTCGCTCACAATGAACGGCATTGCCACCAACGTGTATACCAACTTGGCCTGTGCGGGAACTTCTGCGAAACAACCTCTTCAACGCTATCCCGTCTGAAAAGCATGGACAAACGTATATAGAGCGAAAACGACACGCAACCGTTGAAATATCTCCCTTTGTGAGTTTTTTTATTGTGTGTGAATGCGTGAGGATTCTGCAAGCCGTGATCTCGACTCGTCAACTAGCCGAAAAAATCTCCCTCTCAAGTTATAGGTTACGTGGGTAAAAGCAATTCTGTGCATCTGTTTACGAGGTGATTTCAAATGACTTCTCGCCCAGAGCAAGCTTCAAAGTGCGCCCACAGACGCACGATCTGGTAGCAGTATTCGCGAGCATCGCTCGTGTTTTCCGCTCCGGCTAACAAGCATTGTAGCTTTACGGTATTTAATATATTGCCCCCTAAAGGAAAATCTGACGTTCAAATGATCACCTTCCTATCGTCGAAGTGAAGCGTTAAGTTTCTTTCCGTTCTATTAGAGTCCAAGCAGATAGCGAGAATATGGTTCGGCCTTAATGAAGGCAGGCAGTTTCACTCGCGAGCAGGACTGTAAACGTAATCGAGGTTTTTTTTTTTTTTGCGAGAAGTCGCAGCTGGACTTGATTGCCGTACATAATGTGAACAATGCTGTCTACGGCGCGAAAGAGATAAGAAGGGGAACAAGCGTTTACACGAATAGGATGGAAAATCCTTGAAAGCTTTTGCGAAAAAGTGATCGGCATGACGGCGGCGAGGCAGAAAAAAAACGAGGCGGCAGTTTCCCCCAAACGACGGTCATCATTCGCATAAATTGAACTAGAATTGCCGCGCACTAAGTGGATCTCCTCAGTGAAGAGATCAATCGACTCAGTGAGACGATTCCTTAGCCATCTTTTTTCGACGAATCGAGAAGCCGCAAAGGAAGAAAAAAAAAAAGAACTTGAAATGGCCGATGTTGAAAGACGAAGTGGTAAGGAAGAGGTAAGTAGATGCTCACGACATGAAAGAGCGTTCTGATGAGACGAGAATGCATGCGCAACCTATTAAAAAGAGAAGCAAAGAAAATGGAGAACTCTTAATCCAGTCGAAGGCTCAGCTCATCAAGATTTAATCCACGATGACGCATTTGCGCAATCATCGTTTAATGCCCGGACACGCTTTCAAGAGCTTAGAACGCAAGAATATTACTGTTCGTATACGTCGTCTCGTCCCGAACCGTTCATGCTATACTAGCGTTATAAACTTGATTTATTCCTGTATGTGAGCTTTTTTTTTGTCCTTGAGGGTATACGCCTATGAAACGTTTGCTGTTAGTTTCACTTGAAGTGTAAACTGGATTTGAGAACGGGATATTTATTTGGTGCTTTTTTTGTTTAGCTTCGGATTAGACACGCGTCGGTGACGCGAATTGGCGTAATACCTTTAAAGCTGTTTTTCTCGATGGTCTGGGAGATATATATCAACATTGTGATGGAGTAAGTAAAAGTTTGCAGAGCTAGGGAGCGGAGTAAAAAAAAAAAAACCTTCCACGAGAGTGTCGAGAATTTCATCCGAGCTAATCCAGACCGATGGCTACGCAGTTTAATGTTTGGCCTGGTATACATCATTAAGGTTTAGCAACTCGCATCTCTTTCTTTATACATTTTTAATAAGCAAGAAAGTGTTGTGTAATGCGTAACTATAATGGAAAAAATGTACATTAAATTCATTTGGGACTTCTCACTTTTCTTCTACTGCCCAAAGCTGCTTCCTCAAGTTTTTTGTTTGTTGTTAGGGCTTTCTTGTTGAACTATCGCTTGCGAAAAAGCAAAGCTAAATAGATGTTTCAGGTCAGATATCACGTCATTCACCCAAACCTCCTCTTCTCTCAAAGGATTGAAAATTCCAGGGAGTAGTTAAGCCCACCCAGGGTTTAGTCAAGCTTTCCCAGGGCTTTCTGCCAGCTTAAGTTTACTCTTGCGTACTTTGGATATTCATCTCACAGCCCTACGCGAAAAAGCTTGCTGAACTGTTTATGAGCGACTGCGAACTACACTGTCGATTGATCGCCTTCTAAACTAAACGGTACATTTTGTTAGTGCACATGGTGAGGACGTGTCTGGAGGATGCACGATCTCAGACGATACATGCTATTCACGGCGTAGCGTCCCAAATTGAATGGTTGTACGACATCGTTCTATTGGGGCTTATGGTTGCGATGCAGCTAATTTATTAGACTGCAGTGTGGTTGCGGGCATGTAAATACAAAATCCCGGATAGCAAACTGTATTCGAAGCACTTCATGCGCTGAAACGATGGTGCAAGATGAATTAGATTGCTGATATTGGATGCAACTCCCTTGCCTAACTTATAAGGGCCAGCATTCCATTGCGTCGGTTCCTACTACCGTAGGCGTTCCAAAATCGGAGGGGACTCTTTCGATTCTCGCAAAGTATCAGGCGAGTATATCGGCTGCTTGAGCAACAACTAGAGAGGTCTACTTCCGAGCGAAATATATCATTATTATGGCTCGGCTCGGCAGCAATTCCCACTGTTTCAGAACAAGTGTTGTGTCTAATCACTCTTAGATTTCTCCACCCGCCCACCCACCTATGCTTTGAAGACAGACGTGCTTGCGGAAACCTCTGGTCAACAGATGTGATGAACCTGGTCATCCCAGGTGCATCGTCGAATAAAACAGGAAAAAGAGTGGTGAGAATAAGATTTAATGAAACGTATTCGAGAGATGTGAAAAAGAATTGGAAAGCGTTCGCCTTCGGCTACGCCACTTACCTTCAATTAGAGCTCAGAAATATTGCGCTTATATCCCTAAAATTATTCATGCGTATGAAAAGTTAGGCGTCAAAGGAACCAATCAGTTGCAATGTTGGATTTGGAAGAATATAGTCTGTATTTACATATCCGAGCTTGCGCGAGACAAAGCAAGTTCACGTGGCACATAATCTTTTTTTTTTTTCAAGTTCCAAGTTCCGAGGATGGCCGAAAATCGTGAAAAGTCTCTCAAGAGCATTCACGATTTCAAAAAGCTTTTGACGTGATACGCATTTCCCGCACCTGCCGGAAATTAAAGTTTTTTTGTACGCTCATAAGGAGTGGCACTGTCTCGGTGGAGAATGCCGGCTGAATCGACGGAAAAAAAGTTGTCAGTAGCTTTTAATTCATTCAATTTAACACCGTTATTGCTATGCTACCATTAAGGACAATCAGTGGCATCTATGTTTTGAGTGGTGCAACTGTTCGTTAAAATCGTTTGGTAGGACTTATTCTCATGTGAGACA